ATTGGCCAAACACAACTGGGAAGGTTGGAGAGCTTCTCTGGACAGCAGGACAGTGGGGGAGCCCTGCCCTATCCAGGTGCCTTGCCTTACCCTGCCCTGTGGTGGCTAAACAGTTAAAAGAAAAGAATCAGGGAAACCAAGCTGTCAAGTAGTTAATTGACTTTTCCTCAATCAGCTCGATGAATATTCATGAGGTGGCTGGTCCTCCTCAGGCCTGTTGTCACTGCTGCTCCTCTTCCTCGGAGCTGACATGACATCCTGCGCCAGCCTCTTCCAGCCCACAGTTGTCCCTGATTGGCTCAGCTGCACTCTTGAAAATGCCATAGCAACCCCTGGCTGGTTGCCTAGCAATCCTTCCTTCTCTTTCCTCCCCCCCCCAAAACCTAAGCTAGTAATCCATAGGCTTAGGGTGGAATCATCTTCATGTCATGGTGAGCGTGTGCATACATGCGTATGGATGTGTATGTGGGGGGTGTGTATGTGTGTAGGTGTGTAAGATGAGGAGGCTGAGGGGGTCTTCTACTTCCCATTACTGTCCTGGCTCTGCTGCCACAGATTAAAGATATGAGGCATAGACTCCTGGCCAGGCAGGTCATCTTGGGATGCTCACCACAGCACCCAATAACAGACCCTCTAACCTGAGTCCACAAGGAATCTATTTACCACTGCCCAGATATCATGGGACACAAGGCTTATCTTCAGTACTTTGGCTCTTCAGTGGAGAAGCAACGGTATCCTCAATTGAAGTTACTTACCAGCATGAAGGATGATGCTAAGCTTCTGTTGTTTTATGAATAGTCTGGGTACATATATCTAGGTGACCTGCTTTAGGAAGCTGCTGTCTGGGATGGGATGGTAGATGCCCCCTTTCAGGCCGTGAGGGTTGTCAGGTGACTGTTCTTGGTGTGCATGTGTTAGAGTAGCCACCGAGAGACTGTGAGGGCCAAGCATTGGCCCAGGAGCATTGTGAACACTCTAACTTGGGTCCCTCCTCCCATCCTTTGCACAGGTCTTGGAAGATATGCTGTGCTCAGGCCTGGGCCTGCCTTCAGGAGGCACTTCCTATGGACATCAAGGAAAGGGTCAGACCTCAGGAGGAAACTAGAGAACACCCCTGACTGGCATTGGTTTTGTTTTTTTTACAAAGATGGAAGATTTGTGGAAGTACCATACTAGGGAGGTAGGAATGTTGCCTAGACTGAGATACAGGGCCCCAGCTACTTGCTGTGTGCTGACATGGAGTTGGCACTGGTAGATCTAGGGTTGGAACGTAGTGTCTGTGGATTGGATGCGTGAGGGGAGGATGTGGGGCACATCCAAGGTGCAGAGTCCTGTTAGACCTAGCTGGGACAGGCTTGACAGTATGGCCTGAGTGTTAGGCCCAAAGAAATACAACTCTAGCACTACATCAGGGCATTCTGGCCACTGGAGATGCCTGATATAATTCCCAAAAGATGTAGGAGGAAAATTAGTGTCCTGATGAGGGACGACAGGGGAGAAACAACAATAAATGCTCAAGGGACAATGCTACTCTCTATGACCACAAGATACCAAAGCAGTACACCACGATCAAGAAACCAGTGAATGGAGGCAAAGTCAGCTGCTGACATGTAATCATCTCCCATATCCCAAGTTAGAAAGAACTATGCATACATGCACAGTGGCAGATGCCACCTATGAGGGCTGTGAGTGCTTAGGCTTTGCCTCCCTCAGATATGTGTGCCTATGTGAATGTACATGCAAATATGGGTGCAAGCCATTGCGTGCCTGTTCAAGTGTGAATATGTAAACATATGTGTATGTATGCCTATGCACACATGCCCATGTATGGACTTTTGCATATGTGTGGATATGTGTGTGTATGTGTACATATTTTCATGTTGAATGTATCTACATGCATGGATGTGTGTGCATGCTTGTGCGTACATATTTGTGTGTGAAAGTATGCCTATCACTGAGGTGTATGGGTGCATGTATCTGTATAAGTGTGCATAGATTACACTCAGATGTGTTGAGTGACAACAACTGATATGGACACTTTATTTTTGACTGATGGAAGCAACATAACTCAGGCTCCCTGCTGAGCCCTGCTCTGGTTTCCCTGTTAAACACAGCAAACGTGCGTCTCCAATAAAAAGCTACACAGCAACTTAATCTTCAATCGATTGCAAAGAAAGGAAAATAAAACCCTGCTCCCTGGGGCCCATGCTGCCTGATAGGCAGTTGTTCTTGATATAGAATGTGGGTGATAGGTACATTAAATATAAATGGAGGTACAGAGGGGATCAATAAACCCTGCTTCCTCCATGCTAATTGAAAACCAAGTCAAGGTTTGATTAATGTGGAGGTCCTTTGGGTGCAGCAGAAGCCTTGAGTCAGTTCACGCCAGAATCTCCCTCCCCACTGATGGTCAGGGTCTATTCTCCATTTGGGGCAGTAGGTGAGGTCTTTCCAGCTAGTCCTAGAGAAACAGGGGTGGTCAGCCTGTGAGGAAGGGTTAAGGATGATAGTTCCCTAACCTCATAATCTCAGGGACTAGAGTTCACCTTTGTGGCTTCTGGTATGTCTTAACCAGGGAAGATCTGGGTAATCCTTGTCTGGAGTCCACAGTGGGCAAGATTTAGGGTGTATGAGAACTTGTATCCCCCAAGGAAACAAAGGCAGTGATGGAAGCCATGAAGACAGCTGCTGTTAGAGTGCTTGGCCTGGCACTGATGTAAAAGACAGATTCCCTGTCCTCTAAGGAGTCTAGCTACTCGTGAATCTACTTCCCAGGACTCCTGTAGACTCTATATCCAGGTACCTAAGCACAGGACCTCATGTCAGAAAGGACTAGCCAGCCTGAGCATGGCAAACATGGCTCTGGCAGGCCTTGCCCTTCTCCCCCACCCCCTCTGCCTTGCTAAAATCCATTAGATTATATTCCTAAAGCTAGCCACCAAGGTCTGTTCCCTTATTTGGCTACTTCCTCCTCCTGAGGCTGACCACCAAGGTCCAAGGTCCAGCAATCAAAGTCTAGCAATCAAAAGCCCCCTTTGACTCAATTAACATGCCCAATCAAAATTAAACACCTCATCCTGACACAGGATTTCTCTTTTTACCTTTATAAACCACCATTTTCTTATAGGCCACATCTGTCTCCTCTCTATCCAGAGGCAGTCTCTTGTGTCCCCCAGTGGGGGACAAATACCCCCTTTTCCTCTCCCTTATTCCCTTCCCCTCATCCTCTATCTCCTGTCTTTGTCTCTTATTCCCTGCCCTTTGTCCCTCTGGGGCAAATAAATCTCTGTGCTGAGAACTTGGTCTTGTGGTATCTTGAGCAGATATCGATCCCTTTAGGAAGGGTGGTAGGACATTCCACTAAATTGCATAGACCCTCACTCCCACCTCAATGAAGTGAACAGGAAATTTCACACTTAGAAGTTGGCTCCTGGGCTGGCTATGGGATAGTGAGTCTCCAGAGGTAGCTAAGTCCCTCTGAGCCCACCTGGGATAGGGAGGCACCCCACAAAGGGCCTGGGCTAAGTTTGCTGCCCAGGGATTTGGGGAGCTGAGTCCCTCTTGAGGCTGTAATTTGAACAGTGGGGTGCTTGGTGTGAAAGCCAAACAGAGGACCTTGTGGGGAAAGAGGTGGACAAATAATGTCTACCCACGTCATCCTTTGGGAGTATGAATAGGTTGCATTGGCAGGATGGGCCCAACCAAAGACTACAGGAAACGATGGCAATGGTGTCAGGGATAGCCCTTTGATCCACTGCCTACACATAGATCCCATGCTTAGCCTGGGAGCCATGAGAGTTCTGGTCTTATAGTCTAGGAATGGGGAATCTTCAGAGGATTTACTGTATGCATGAGTGTGGTAAAGTCGTGTACATATGTGTACAAATGTACGGTATAACATTGTGTGCTATAGCTTGAATAAATAGTATCACACACGTTAGGGACTTAGCCCCCACTTAGTGGTGGTGTATTGGGAGGAGCTGAAGACTGTAGGAGGTGGGCCTGGCTGGAGGAAGTAGACCATGGGGGAGGAGTCTACTTCCTGTGTGCCATGAGATGAGTAGCTTCTGCCACATGTTCCTGCTGCCATGATTTTCTTCCACACCATGGGCTGAGAAGCAATGGAACCAAGTGACATGGACTAAATCCTCTGAAACTGGGAGCTAAAACAAATCTTTCCTCCCTCAGGTTGTTTTGTGAAGTATTTTGTTAGATCAGGAGAGACTAACACAGCGTTGTCATGGTAGGAATCAGGTAAATAGAAGCGGCAATCACTGCTTGCTGAGTCTTGTGTCTCCCCTGGAGTAGTCCAGTGCTGTGATGTACTCCCCCAAAGACTGACAAAGAGGACATTGATGACAGAGACTGGTGACGTTAAGGACTTTACTTCAGAGAACTTTCTTTTTCTTACTGACTTACTGATGCAATTACGTAAAATAGACCTTGTTCAAGTAATGTGAACAACAAGGTTCAGATGATGTCCATCCTGGAGGCCATCACCTCAGCCATCAAGACCTGGGAGAATGCTACATCATCCATGGCCATTGCACAGATGCAGGCACTCTGGGCCTGAGCTGTGTCATGGAGGTCCACTCATGTCCTTTAAAGGTAGAATTCTGAGGCATGGTCATCCAGCCTGGCTTTTTCCATTGTTCTGTGTAACTATGTTACAGTATGACTTCCTGTTTCTACTGGTTGCTGAGCTGTGCGCTGTCACTGGTACGCCATGGCTTGTCTCTAGTCTTCTGTAAATAGACGTGTGGGTGTGTCTGGGTTATGGCAGTTGGGTATTTAGCTGCTGTGAGCATTTTCATAAGTGTGTATGTGTTTTCTCATTTCTCCTCTGAATACCTGAGAGCCAGATATCTATGCTCAGTGATGGATGGATATTTAACTTCTCAAAATTCATATGTACAGCCTGTCAAACTTTAGGGTATTCACAGTAATGGTTAACCATCACCATTCTATAGTTCTAGAATGTTCTTATCATTCCAAAGAAACCCCTTGTCCAGCCCTGGCAATCACCAATCTATCTAATTTGTCTGCTCAGGATGGTTCACATGAGGCTTTATGAGGTGCTGACACTACCCACTTCTATGGTGGAGGGAGGTACTAGGGCCAGTTAAGGAACATAGCGCCTCCTGGAGTTGGGGAAGGTAGGAAGCAGTTCTCCCCAGGACCTCCAGAGGGAGCACAACCCTGCCTAGACTGAGGTTTCAGTTAAGGGAGTCCTGTTTCCGACTTGTGATCTCTAGCATCATAAGATTAAAAAGTGTGTGCTGTATCAGCCAGCTGAGTATACAGCACTATGTTCTGGCAGAGAGGGGAACTAAGAAAGAAGTTCTATTTTCCAACTTGATCACAAATGAGTTTTGGTGAAAAGTGTTTTCTACATTTATTGTGATACTTACGAGTTTTCCTTTATTTTGTTAATATAGTTGATTATATGGATTGGTCAGGGCAGACAAGGTTAGCTGGCAGCCTAAGAGCTCTGGGCTTTCTATGAGTAGGGCCCAGAGCCTCCTTCCCTTTTCTTTTCAAGAGCCTTTGTAAGAGAGGACAGTGCCCACTTGGAGGTTGGGATAGTGGAGCAAGGCTACCTGGGGAGAACCAAGGGAAGGGAGCTCTGGGGACTGGTTCTGGCTTCAGATCTGGGTGGGGATGGCCTGGACTGCTGTCCTGGTCTCAAGCCAGTGGGAGCCCCACAAAGTCCTTCCCAGCCCCAACTTCACCGTGGATCCTCTCTTGTATTAGTCAAGACTATCTAGAGGAACAGAACTGATTGAATGAATATTCAGTCATATATATACAGGATTCTTTAGAGTGGCGTACAGGCTGTAGTCAAGCTAGTCCAACAATGGCTGTCTCCCAACAGAAAGTCCAAAAATCCAGCAGTTGTTTAGTCCATGAGGCTAGATGTCTCAGCTGGTCTTCATTATACACTGTAATCCCAAAGTAGGCTCTAATGTCAATGAAGCAAGAACAAGGGCAAACAGGCAAAGAGCAAGAATGTCTTTCTTCCTTGTCCTTTATATAGGTTCCCATGGGAAAGTGTGGTCCAGATTTAGGGGTGGGTGTTTCTACCTCAAGTGATCTGTATCTAAGGTGGATCTCTCTTCCTCAGGTGGCCAATTAACTAAAAATCTCTTACAGGTGTGCCCAGTGACTTTTTAGTTAATTCCAGATATAGTCAAGTTGACAACAAAGAATAGTCATCACTCACCCACCCCCACGCCTACAGGTGCAGCCAGGCAAGGAGATGTGGCCATAAATTGGAGGAGTGACCAAAGATAGATGGAGGGGTCAGAAGACTCAAGTGGGCAGCATTTTTGCAGGACTCTTGTAGTCTCCCATGGTAAACTGAAGTCCAAACAGTAGGCTCTCATCGCCATGTTTATCCCACTGAACAGGAGCAAAGACCATCACCAAAATTCTTTGCTCAAATTTGCAAGCTTTCTTTTCTGTCAGACAGGAATATCTCCTGTGTTTAGGTGTTTATATAGTTCAAAAAGATGGTGTTTATCTAGCTCAAAAAATCTTCAAGACTAGGGGTTTTACAACATTTGGGGGATTTCCAGAGGAATTTTGGTTATATAGGGACTTGTCTGAACACTTCAAAATTATTTGGCAGTACATTTTATCTTATCAGGTGGAGGTTAGGGTATAGGGTATGGAACATGTCAAATTTCAGAAAATAGGTCAAGACACGCTCAAACCAAAATTTTACAGAAAATAGGAATGACTTATTTTGACCTTGCAATAAGATAGTTGGCTTATAATCTTAATATGGAGTCAAGCTGGTCCATCATCCCTCCCACTTGTCTTATGTGTCCCTTTCAAATCCTTGATAGGAAATGGTTAATTTTATCTGTTGTATGGGCTGATAATGCCAGAGGGAGGCAAGTAGTTTGTAATTTTTATTTGGTGAGAGACAAAGTTTGTATCATGGCTAGGGTCTCTGTAATTTTGTCTGATTGGTTAGCATAGATGGAGTATATTTTGATTAAAGCCATCCTTTTTGTTCTACATTGAGCAGGTTGAGTGCCCTAGCATATTGTAAAACTATTTCAGCCAGTGAGTTTACTTGTTGATAGATTTTGGTCTATTTGATTTTAACAGATACCTTTTTACAGTGAGAAGCCTGGTATACCAATAGGCACTAAAAGTAGCCATTTTGCCTTTTGCCAGGAAGTTTCCTTTGGATCTAACATAACAGCCTTTGCTGAGGATAAGGGGCAACATATTTTCTTCTGAAACTGCTTCCCAGACGAAATGAGGATGCTGTTGTCAGAGACCAGAAAGGCTAGAGTATTAGTTAAAGGCTGGAAGGGGAAAGGGGGAATGAATGGGGCATTCATCAGAAGCACCTGGTTCATTGACCCAGGTGAGGAGAAAGGAAGCAATTATGATGGTTGGACCAGTTCATAACAGCTTTTAGCAAGTCAGGGCTCTCTGGTTTTGTAGAACTACTTGGGTCTGGCATTTTTGGTTTTTGGAACAATTTGTAGTCTATAGTCCACAGCTGATTTCCTGGATGGTGTCTGTCAGCCGAATGGAAGTCTACAGAGACAGAGGTAGACTAGGGACAGAAGTTAAAGTTAAGGAACTTAAAGGACAAATCTTATATTTGGAGCTTCCTCTTCAGGAATAGGCAATAGGCAGGGAAGCTTAGGTGTTTATTGACATGAGTACTTATCTTGAGTCCATTTGACCTGTGGCAGGGGGATTCAGTTGCCCTCCCTGAAGCTTATATGAATCTTTAAGTTTACAAAGAAAAAAATTAAAGTTTTAGATACATTAGCATTGCCATTGTTGTTGAAATGCATATTGTAGAAGCAGCAGCTAACGGGTGCCTGTAAAACAGCTGGGTAGACTCTTGTCTTCAAGTCGTGTAGCACAAGCTGTGGCTCTGGGTTAAAAAGCATGACTTCTTTTCCCTGCCCAGAGGGCTAGGTATATAGATTGGACAGAGATGTTTTTAGCATGGAGAGAAGCATTTTTAAGTCTATACTTAGAAGACAACCAAAGGAAATTTAAAATCTTGAGTTTGTGGCTGGTAATAGTAGTCAGTGCTTTCCCAGCTTATCAGAATTCTATTGATCAATGTTAAAACTCTGAACCTCTGAACCTCTTAGTATAATAATAGCATAGAAGGGGAAGAAATCTGTAGCTAGAGTTTTCCTGCCTGGCCCACAGTCAGGACAAATCTCTCTCACCCGCCAGTCCCACAGCCGCTCAGACCCAACCAAGTAAACACAGAGACTTATATTGCTTACAAACTGTATGGCCGTGGCAGGCTTCTTGCTAACTGTTCTTATATCTTAAATTAACCCATTTCTATAAATCTATATCTTGCCATGTGGCTCGTGGCTTACCGGCATCTTCACATGCTGCTTGTCCTGGTGGCAGCTGGCAGTGTCTCTGACTCAGCCTTCTACTTCCCACAATTCTTCTCCTCCTTGTCCCACCTATACTTCCTCCTGCCTGACTACTGGCCAATTAGTGTTTTATTTACTAACCAATCAGAGCAACACATTTGCCATACAGAACATCCCACAGCAGAAATCTGATACATTTTATTTTAAATTATTTTTATACCTTTATTATCTGCATTTATGTATCTTAAATCACTTTCAGACCCTTATAATTTTTGTCTCTTCAGATGTTTATAACTTGCAATTCTATACCTTAACTTATTTTTAGACTTTAATTTATGTAAACCTTAAATTTTTTATCCAATTATTTACCATCAGACCTAAGTGGCTGATTACTGAGAGTAGTCTTTGCAAAGCAAGTTCTTTTTAAATAAAGTAATAGTAAAAAGTTACATCTGAAACCTGTTCATCTTTTAATATAAGCCTGTCAGCAAGGCAAGCCCATCTGTGAGTTTGCCTCTCACATCAGGAGACCTAATAGCTCTAGGAAGCCTCTTATATGAAATGCATTAACCAGGTAGGTAGCTGTTGTTAAACTGGTAAAGCTACAGTTAGCTATCAACACTATCAGAAGTCTGAGAAAGATAAATTATAGCAAGAAGTATAAACTAAATGGTTTCTATATCAACTAAAATGGCACAGACTGCTGGGTAATGGTGGTGCACACTTTTAATCCCAGCACTCAGGAGGCAGAAGCAGGCGGATCTCTGAGTTCAAGGCCAGCCTAGTTTACAGAGTGAGTTCCAGGGCAGCCAGGGATACACAGAGAAACCCTGTCTCAAAAAACAAAAAAACAGCAGCAGCAGCAGCAACAACAACAACAACAAAAAAAACCCAAACAAACAACAACAAAAACGACAGAGACTTGCCAGCTTCCTATACAATTTAGGCTCCTATAGTGGTCTCAGTGGCTTCATTGGGGGCAGAAGTAGTTGGTCTTTGACTGCCATATAGAACAACATTACATCATCAGTTGCTGCATAGGACAGCATAGGCCTTTGGCTGCCAGACCAGAAGGTCCAAGAACTTTTTCTGTGGAGGAGGAACTTGGAAAAACTGACCTGCTGTGAGGGACAGGGCAGTGCAGTCAACCCAACAGTGCCCATAGTGTGTACAGGGCAGTGGCAGCAGGCGAGGCATGGGGCAGCTTCTTCCAGTGGTTAGCATCACCACAATCCAGGTCTGTGCTCTATCATCTTCTTTGGAGACTTTCAAGTCACCTCTAGGAACTGGAATTTTCATCTGCAATAGGAAGGTTTTTTCATTAAACATTTTAAATGTCGTATTCAGCAGATCTCTGGAAAGTTTTGAGGGCCATCTATTAAGTATACCTGATTTGAAATAAATTTTACTTGCTCTTAGTTATTTGCTTTAGGCTTAACCTTGAAAAAATACATAGAAGGCTGAACAAAGTTTATTCCTGTAAAGCAGTGACTCTCAACCTTCCTAATGCTGTGACCCTTTAGTACAGTTCCTTATTTTGTGGTAACCCCAAAATCTAAAGTTATTTTTATTGCTATTTATAACTGTAATTTTGCTACTGTTATGAATTATAATGTAAATATCTTTTTTTCTGGTGGTCTTAGGCTACCACCATGAAAGGGACATTCAACCCCAAAGGGGCCACGACCCACAGGTTG